CAAAACCCCAAAACCCCAAAACCCCAAAACCCCAAAACCCCAAAACCCCGTAAAGCAAGGTTAATGATGATATTCTGAAGTTTAAAATGTTTGTGGGAATCGAATGAGATTTGTACATTTATTTATAATAATATTAAATACACTCTATGTATTAGAAGGTTGAAGACGAGACCTCAAAGAAAGCCATTTAAATGCTACTAGATGAGACGACAACGAACCGCTACATCTCTTACAAGTAAGTAAAAATATATAAGGGCGATAATTTGCTAAGCTTATTTGCAGACGTTGAACTCGATCTAAAAATCCGATGAATGCTAATCAAATGATTTCTTAAATTAAAAGAATTCTAGAAAGCAGGATACCAAATCAAATGTACTAGACTACTGCTCATGTACCAACTAACCTAACCCTTTATTCGAAGAAGAAAAAGCTTTACATGCTGATAATTCAATTTAAATTGTATAGTAAGATCAACCTGACTTAAAAATGATTTCATCTTAATAAATCCCTGACCCTTTATTATCATCGAAACAATCATAATTGAATATCTCGCCAATGAGCTTTTAGACATAAGGTAAACACTAATACCTAATGCTTTATAGGAAATTTTACATCATCTTAGTGGAAGAAATTGGAAAATATATATGCGCTAATTCTTAATCAGGAAACTGAAGAGGAGAGACAGTCGATTAGAATACAGATTAAGTCCAAACTTTAAGATCTAATAGAAATTCTATAAGCTATTAATTCACCTAATTAGATTCTAGTAAAATCTAAACCTAAATTTGAGCCTAATTCTGTGTACTCTGATGCTAGAAAATAAAGCAATCGGGGATCTTAGTTCCGTGGAGTCTCTAGAAATGGAAAAAAGTGGCAAGTAAGTTTATTATATTGATTAAATTCGGTTAAAGGTTATGATTATGGGTAAGAGTAAAAAGCAATACATAGGTGCCATAGAAGATGAATCCGAAGCCGCCCTAATTTACGACTGGCATGCCATTGTAACATAAGGCATTCGAGTAATGAATACCACCAAATTTTTAATTAGTGTATTTTAGGCAAAAACGAATTTCTCGTATACGAGGGACCATTTAATGAAAATATCAGAGGCATTCCAGTATCTTCAAAAATATGAGACCTAATTTTTCTCAGCAAGAAATTAAATTTAATAGTAATGAAAGTATTAGTATAACACAAAATTACTATCGAATAGTACTAGTATTTAATTTTCAGATTTTAATAAACTGCATGCATTATATTTATGGTATATGGGGTTTTGGGGTTTTGGGGTTTTGGGG